GGGGGCTGAGCTGAGGGCTCTTTCTGACCCAGCCTTGGTTCCCTGAGGCCAGTGTACGTAGGAGCTGGGTGGTCAGGCCTGGGAAGAACGTGCCTCCGAAGTGCTGGAGAGAGCCAGCAAGGTCAGGTGAGAAAGAAGGGGATCAGCTCTTTGGGGGCTGGGAGCACTTGCCAGGCAGTCCTCCCCGAGGTTTGGGGAGGCCAGAGGAAGAACTGTGAAACTCCTGAGACACCTCCCTCCCACGGTTCCTCTTCTACTCCCTTTGCTGTCCTTCCTCTACAGCAGCGGTTCTCAACCTGGGGGTCACGACCCCTGTGGGTGGCTTATGACCATCGGGAAACACAGATATCTACATTACGATTCATAACAGTAGCAAAACTACAGTGATGAAGGAGCAACAAAAACATTTTATGGTTGGGGGGTCCCCACAACATGAGGAACTGTGTTAAGCAGCTGTAGCATTAGGAGGGTTGAGAACCACTGCTCTACAGGGATCCAGACTTACGCTGACCTCCCACCCTGAGCAGAAATCACCTGAACTCTCCCAGGGCCAGGGAGTGCCCACCTCAGTCACTACTGTAGCCCAGCACCCAGCTTTCTGCTTAATGCTGACACAAGAACTAATACTGCAGCTGACAATGACCAAGCGCATACTATGTGTTAGGTGCTGTGCTAAGTCCTTGACACATTAACTAATTTGGTCTTCCCAAGGAACCCCATTATTATTATTATTATCATCCCATTTCACAGATAAAGAAACTGAGGCATGGGGAGACTACAACTGATTTCTTCAGGGAACACAAGAGTGGTTAGGAAGCAGTAGTTGAGGGGTTGGGGCTCTTAAAGTCTGACTCCAGAGCTTTGATCACGTGGCTCTATGTTTTCTGCACACAGCCCAGAATACACTCAATAGTTTCAGTTACTGACCAGTGACTGACTGCAGGACTGAACCTAACTGGTTGGGGAGTGGGCAGGAAGCCACACCCAGGGTCTAAAGTAGCCTAGGTGTGGGGGCTTCCTCTCTGGGAGGTGACAGAAGGACACTGCGGAGCACTGAGGGCAGGCAGGGCCCACACCCAGTGTGGGCAGCCCTTCCCCACACTCTTCTTCCTCCGCCTTCAGATAGGAAAGGCCAGGGGCTGCCGATGGCTCTTTTCCTGAGGTGGGGCCAGAGACACTTCCTGGCCCAGAGAAACTCCCAGCCTGCCCCTGCTGCCCCTTGCAGATCGAGAACTCACAGGAGTGTGGGTGCCACCAGGAAGAGTGGAGGAAGCGGTACAGGGGATCGCGCCAAGGGCAGCGGTCGGCTGGCTGAGGCCCTGCTACCAGGGGTGCGTGGAAGTGGATCTGCCTCGCCAGGTGTAAGGCCAGCACGGCCAGAGTGCCCTGGGAAAGAAAGCAGCATGTCAGGAACCCAGCCCCCACCTGTCAATCATCACCTGCCGGAAGCCCTTCCTTCCGGACTAACTGGGGCAGCTCCGCACCACGTACTTCCACAGCACTTGAACCCGGCCTTGGCTGTTCTGTAATCCTTTTCCATCATTCACTTAGGGTCTGTCACTCCCTTTTAGTCCGCAAGCAGGACACAGGCAGGGCCCATGGACCATGCACATTCTGATATCCCTGGAGCCCAGGGCAGTGTTACGTGAGACTGGGTGCCTTAAAAATGCACGCTGAATGCATGTGCCAGCAAGTGACAGAATAAAAGGGTCTAAGCAGGCAAGAAGATGCTGCGGTAAGTTGGAGCTTAGCCTAAAATACAGGGACAAGTCAGAGTCCCCAACCAACCACAGGAGTGCACACGTACAAGTGGAAGTTTGAAAAGGTGTCACAGAACAGCTGAGCTAGCTCCTATCCCAGGAGCTGCTTGCTCACCCCATCATCCCGTGCTGGAGACACCCCAACACTTCTCTGTTGCAACAGGAATTATGCCCGATAGCAAGTTAAGACAGACAGCGCCTGTGCCCTCCTCATGACATTGCGTTAAAAGAGACAAAACCTAAACTCACTGAGAAACAAACACAAGAACCTAGCGATTATGCAGAACACCAAGAGGAAAACAGATCAGAGGGTTACAAAGAGCCTGAGAGGAAAGAGGGCTGGGGTGACGACTGGGCTGCAGCCAGAAGGAAGAAAGACGAGGCGCCATCACTAGGAAGGTAAGGTGAACGGGGTTGGAGGGAGTTTGTGTGCAGGCCCTTCCACATGGGTCATGGCGACAGAACCTAGAGATGACAACAGGCCCTTGGAATCTAGATCCAGGTCCCTCAGGGAATCCATGTAGTACTGACCTAGGGCTCAGCTCTGTGACAAAATGGCAACATATTCCCTTCTCTGTGGTATAATCTGCCTCCAGTCCACAGAAATCCAGACAGCCATGTCTATGTCATGGAGACAGCACAAGTTCAGTTCTGCTGATGACACCAAATTACAGGTTTAAAAGAAAAAAAAAATAAATGTGGCCGGGTGGTGGTGGCACACGTCTTTAATCCTATTACACAAGAGGCAGAGTTGGAGACCAGCCTGGTCTACAGAGCAAGTTCCAGGACAGCCAAGGCTACACAGAGAAATGCTACCTTGAAAAACAAAAACAAAAACAAAAACAAACAAACAAACAAACAAACAAAGCAAAGCTCAGAGGGGTCAAGCCACTTGCCTACTGTACCAAGCATGAAGTACCATGTTGGGATGTGGCAGACCCAAGAGTGATATATGCATCCATTTCAACAGCCAGAATCTCTACATGGAACACTGCCCGTGGGGTCAAGATTCTGCCCTATGACACCTAATGTTTGTGATGCATCCCTGACCTTAGAGATCGGTTCGACAAATATTTACTGAGCAAATATTAGGCATTGGGCTCTGAATTAGGTGTTTCTACAAGATATCCTAGGTGAAGCAACCATGTGGTACAGCTTGAATGTCAGGCCAGCAAAATCTGGTTGCTCTACTTAAGAACCATGTGACTTCAGGTATATTACTGATATTCAAAGACTGAGTGTCCTTGTCTAGGAAATGAAGGTTAAATTCCCCTTGCAAGACTTTTGCAAATGTTAAACAAGATAATGTGTGCATAAGAGTTCATGTTGGTAAGTCATACTGTCCATCAATTTATTATCATTTATGCTAAGCTCCATGAAGGCAAGAATTATGATTTGCTTGTTCTCTGCTCTGTCCCTAGTGCTTAGCTCAAACGTGTTAAATAAATAAAACCAAATGGAGAAGAATAAATGCATGGCAGAGGCTGGAGGGATGGCAATGTTTCCATGAACATGCTCAGGGTCGAAGACCTCACCATGTAGATATGATCTTGCCCTTGTTTCTAGACTAGGATGTTCTCCCATGCAAGATCATTCTCCTCTATGCTGAAGGTACAGGACAGGGCTGGGGAAGCCTTACCCATGAGACGGCATCCCGAAGAGTGTTTGGGGAGACGGGAGCAGACATCCAGTGGAAGGCATCTTTCCACCCACGGCACTTTGGGTCTCCATTTCTCCTTGGACCATAGGAGCCTGACCTAAATTACAATTAGAGGCTGTTAAGTTCTGTACAAAATGGGAGCAGGAGGCCACATGTGACAGAATGTTAAGTCTCTCTCACCTGTCAAGGCTGGGTTTAGGAAGCAGCGGGGTAGTGAAGGTTGTCTGAGGCCCATCTGAACTGGTGGGCCTGGGTGGTACTCCTCGGCAGCCAGGTCCCAGCAGGCGGGGAAGAACTGTGGGAGCAAGAAGGATCAGTCACACCAACAGCCATGGGCTGAAATAAAGATGGCCTCAACAATCTTCCTTCTAGTCTGTGAGGGAGCCTTACCCCAGGAACCCAGGAATCACTGACATCTATCTGTGCAGTGGTTTTGTTTTTCTGGTGCTCAGGATGGAACTCGGGACCTCCAGCATTCTAGTCATGCTCTCTACTATTGAGAACCTTGCAGAGGTTCTTAAACTAGGGTGCAAGACAGAAATCTTTAGAGAGTAGTAGGATTCCCAACGTACCACCCCCAAAACTAATAAAGTCAGACCCCTCAGAATGAAGCAGGTTTATTTTTGAAAAGATTCTCGCGGAGTTCCAACACTCTCCTATGAGTGGCAGCTTCTGTTCTAGAACCATAAATCCACAGACGCACATTCTCACTATACTGAGCACGAGTCTCTCAATTCCTCCTCTTTCCATTGGCTTTCTTTTGTTGACTCCTCCCCTTCTAGAGCTCCGCCCATCTCCTTGGCTTTAAGCTCCACCTTCTCCCCCACTCTGCCCTACCACGTCTCAAATTCCAAGGGCTCCCGACTCGCCCCCTACGCTCCGCCCTCCCTGCCCCTAGCCCCGCCTACGGCCGCCCTGGCTGTCTTCCCGCGGAGCGCGGAGCGTTGCAGTTCCGAGGCCATGGCCTGCTGGAACTCGCCTTGCAGATGACCCTTACCTCGCCCCAGGAGCCCTGTCAGGCGCCACATGTCGTGGCCGGCACCATAGAGAGCTCGCAGCCCAGAGAGCAAGGCCGAAGGACCGGACAGGGGCCAGCGCGGCCGCTGCGCAGTCCCCAGAGGCCGAGTCCCCAGCCAGCCAATCAGCAAGGAGCCCTGCCGGAAGGACGGTGCTCTCGGGAGGAAGTGGTGGGAGGGGCGGGCTTGGCGCTGGCGGGGTGAGATCGACAAGGACGCGATGTGGGGCCGGGGCCGAGGTGTCCTCTGTCGCCGTCGCAGGAGCCGCGGAGGTGCGCGGATGCGAATGGCGGCTGCTCGGTGGGCCGAGGTTACCAGGGCAGGTTTTGCCTCCGGCTTCTAGCCCGGGTTTCTCTCTTTACATTTGGGCTGGTCGCTTCCTGAGGCAGGATTTTTCCATCCTAGGAAATCCTCGCCAGCGACCGGGCAAGAATCCCAGCACCGCACAGATAACAGTCGTTCAAGACCCTTTTCCTCCCTTCTCAGCCACAAGCAGTTGTGTCTCTAGTAATCTCACCAAAATTGCCCGGTTTACAGGCAAAGGACATGTACTAAACCTCTCGTGCAACCCCAGTGGCATCTGATTTTACGTTATCAGGTTATAATTCCATCCAAGGAACCACCCTATAAATTCACTTAACAAAAGAGAGAGAAGTGGGGTGGTTCTTCGCGACCCTTTGAGATGTAACTTAACCACCAAAGATATATATGTGGCTAATACGAAAAGAATTGCGACTGCCCCGCGAGGAGTCCATACTTGGGCATTGCCTTGCCGTGTTTCCCTGTGCGCCTTCTAAGCCTCATGCTTATGCCCATGTTAAAGTTATCTTTAATACAACCCCAGCTCCTCTTCATCATAGTGGTGAGTCCTGAAATTCTTTTCATCCTCTAAGCCAGGAATCCTGGTTTGGACTGGTCAGAGTCCCTAACATTAGGAGAGCTCAGGCTGCTGAAGGTAACTGTGGTGCTTTTTTTCCTGTCCCCTCACTGCTGATACTCTGTGGTCTGGTTACCCCGTGCAAGGATCGGGTCAGCTGGAGCAATCGGCACTACTTTTTCCTCATGTGACAGGCTGAGTCTTTTGAGTGGCTTTCAAAATACTTAAGGATTCACAGGCCCTGGTCAGTCAGAGCCCTCCAGTTCAGTTTCAGGCAGTGTTTTTTTGTGAACTGGTCCCACTTTCACTGCTCAGGAGTTCTATGGGGGGGCGGGGGGGAGGGTGTTCAGACTTCCTCCCTCCCTTCCCCCAAATATGTGACTTTTAGGTGGGTGGAAGTCTCTGGGATAAGAGTACTGGGTGTACCTACGGTTAGACCCAGGCATGTGGTAGGAAAGTTGTGTTTATCTGTTAACCGATCTCGAGCCATATGCCAGCCACCATTCTAGGATCTGAGAAGACAGATTGATAAAGAGCACTTGTGGCCTCCAAAAATACATGGCTCCAGTACATTAAGAGTAGACTGAAGTAGGTGACATTAAGGCTTTAGAAGTGGAGGCAGGAGGATCAGTAGTTCAAGGGCATCCTCAGCTACATAGGTCTAGGCCAGCCTGGACTACATGAGGTCTGGTTTCAATAAATAAATAAAAAAGGAGTAGACTCTGAGATAGGCCTGGGGACATAGGCCTGTAATTCTAGTACTGGGGCTGAGGTAGGAGGATCACAGATTCAAGATATAATGAGTTCTGGGCTGTTCTGGGCTGTATAGTGAGACCTTGCCTCAAAAAGAGCAAGAATGAAGTCTGTAGGGCTCAACTTAAGGCTCAGTGTCTGATGCCAGGCCTGTCCTGCACGAGACCAAGTTCAATCTCTAGCACTGACAAAAAGCAAATGGGCCGTAGTTCCACAAATAATGCTTTGAATACTAGCTTTCTGATTTCCTAGCTTTGTGGTTTTTGCAGGGTGTTTTTTGTTTGGTTTTGGTTTTGATTTTTCAAGACAAGATTTTTCTGTGTAGCCCTGGCTGTCCTA